AGAATCGCCAGCGGCTGTGTGTTCTGTGCGGTTAGTCATAACAATGTCAGGGCGATATGGCCATGGAAGGTCCACACAACGTTATTGGCATCATTTATGCTTTTGTGAGGGGGCGGGACCGGAGGCACGGGCACCCTTCTCAGCCATCTTCATTGTTACTCCTAAACTCTCTACACATGCAAGCATTTCAAATGGGTATCGATTAAGACTTCGTTAGCCATTTGTTAGACCCATGTTACCTCAGATAAGGATCGGATTAAGAACGGGCCTAGATTTAGATTTGTGTAGCGCAGTTTATTTTAGAGAAATAGGTTTTGTTTTTGGTGGCGAAAAACACCACCTTTCCCTACAATATTTTTGGGTTTGATATAAGTCTTTTTGAATATTGTTATTGATAGCAAATATAATATTGTTGTCGATTTTGTCGATGTAAATCCATGGAAATTAGTTTGCAGTTCGCTTTTCCGAGCAAGCCGCCCTTTGTTCCGTTTTCCATTGGAAAATTAAATTGTTGAAAATTCCGCAAACTCACATACACCCACAAAACCCACTCTTCTACTCAAATACACTAACATAAACACAAAGCCATTGACGGTCGTGGGCACAAAGCAAAGCCGCAATCGAGAAGGGGACTGGTGCGGATGCGGCCTTTGGTATCGTCCATATCTGTATGTGTGTGAGTGTGTATTGGTAGTTTGTTTTGTGCTTTGTTCTTTTTATGCCATTCGGAGGAAAAAAAGCAAGAAAAAGAGCCCGCCACAAACAGACAAAACTGAAGCGAGAGTCAACGCTGAGAGCATGCCAGGTAATTTCATTATTCAAATATTGTATGTGTGAATGTGAGCTCGGGAGAAAGGACCTGACTGACTGACTGACTGATTGACTGACTGACTAACTGACTGACTGGGGCAGGAGCCAGTGACTGGCAGACAGACACACGTTGTTCCATTGAAATGGACCACAACTAGAAGCCAGTCTAAACAATGCTCGGCCAAAGCAGCCACAAATGGGGCAGCCATTTCCGGTTACTTCTGTTTCGTTGCCTTGTTTATTTGCACTTCAATTAATTACACCATTCAGCAGTCGGAACAGTCCTCCCTCCCCGTTCGTTTTCCCCCACTGTCTGCTCTATTAATTGCAAATTTCATGCATTCTTTATGGTAATTTTCCTCGGCTAGCGCCCGCAGCTTTTGTCAAATTGTTTTTCGTGCCTCATTAAGTGTTCTGGCCATCTCGCTCCGTTCGCTATGGTTATCCCGGTTATCTGGTATGGCCTGCAGGGCATTCTGGCCTGCGGCATGGGCGTTTAATTTATTTCAGATGACTTTTGATTATTTTAGCAATTGGATTTATGACCAGCCATAAATAAATAAATATTACGTGAGACCACTAAATTTTATTAGCTGTGGAAATGCGTTTAATTTGTACTTGACCATCTGGAAGTTGGAATAATTAACGGCCATAAAAAAGTGGCAGCAGCGATATGCAAATAAGCATTGGTCATTGATAGTACTGCTGGTATGCATACACATTGTACAGGGAGGTCTTCTACTAACCCAAAACAGATTGCTGCTGCCTACCCAATCGAATCTACTTAAAAACCCGCAAATATCTCAACCAGGAATGGGTCTTGCCGCTTCGAGAATTTCGACAGTTTGGCCAGATCTGTACAAAATCAAACCCCAAATGAAGATGCCCGTCTGCCGGAGGAAGCGGCATATGCCAGAGGTCACCACTCGTTTGGAGCAGCTTGCCATAAATTAGCTTCTTGGCCCAAAAATTTGGGGCGTGCTTTTCTGCCCATTTTCTTTAATTTTCCCCTATTGTTCTGCTCTCGGGCGGGATATACATTCTGTCGTTTAGCTTCATTTATCAGCCATGTATTTGTGCGTGTATGTTGGTTTGGCAAGAAAATCAATAAACATGTGGGAGTACGGGAGTCGCTTCCCAATCCCATTTTTGACAGTAATTAATCAGAGCCCGCGCTTGCGTGCAATTAGTGATGCTATAAAACACCATAAATTGCTTTAGGCCGCCTCCTAACGAGAACTTTAAGAAGAACACGGGAATCCTTTTTACGATGCTCGCGCATGAAAAATTCAAATCACTTGATTAGTGGCAATTAATTTGCCCTACGCCTGTGCGTAAATCACTCAGCCAACCAGAAGGGTACTGAGCAGAGGGAACAGTAAACAGACATGTTATGGGTCAACCCATAGTGGCCCTAAGGGGCATCGTTTATGCGAATAGAATACTGAGATAATAATGTAGTCGTTGGCTTAGATATTGCAGCAAATTATTGATTTAATCAGTCTAGTTTATGATTATTTTGCTTTAAATACTGCTAAACAGCAAAGTTTGGACGAATATATTAGGGTCTGTTGATCAGATAAACCTCTAGGCATGCGTTTAATAACTGCTAAGGCATTACTAAGCCTATAAGGTCGGTTCGATTTGATCAGGTGTTGCTTTTGGTGTAGAAGGGGACTCGGTGACATCACAATCTCATCACAGTATAAACCGAACGTACTAGTTATTCTGGGATTGTGTCAGAGGACCCGTTGTTTATAGCCCCAGTTACGACGGGTGTTAATGCCTCGTTTGCGTGCCCCGCCACCACTTGGCATGGCCTTCTCTGCCTTGGCTGGCTCCTGCTTGGTTTCGACCGGGCCAGTTCAATTTGCAACTAATAGAATTGTCACTCATATTTTGTCGACATCTGTTGGGTAGCGTGGCTCGGTTTCTCTGGCACAATATTTGTCCACATTCGGGGAATTCAGTGGATGACTATCATTCACCGCAATTGTGTTGTGTGACAAGTGAATTTGTCACTGGTGGCTCAAGTTGAAACAAAGCCAAGGCCGGGAGACTGAAAATGGCATGTATTACGAGCCAACGAGCAGTGGTAGGGGAAAATTTGAATCCATGTTTTGGGCACTTTTTTGCACTAGCTGGAAAAGGGAAATGCTTTCATTTGGAGCTGCCACAAAGCATTTCCGCTTTGTGGCACACACATAATGTGTGTGGTTGTGTGTTTGTGACAATGAGTGATGTTTCTGTGTGTGTGTGTGCGCCTTGGTCAACGCTAAGAGGCAACAAAGAGCAGCATCAAATTCTGGGCTGCCATCATGATGGATAGCCACATATTAACTGTCTAATGCATACTGCAATTACGAAATTTTAGTACTCTATTAGCTAATAGGTATCTTTTGTGTGCTTGCTCTTATCAGAAACATCTCCAGTTTCCCCAAACGATGTACCCACACATTTACTTAGTGATATTGATAGTGGGAAATGTCTTATCTAAATTGATGACCAATATAACAATAGTTTCTATAACGCACTTTTTTGCTAATGAAACTGCTACTCCGTTTGTGACGCTTAAAATTAGAATTGACTTAATTAATGTCCGTAAATATTATTTTTAATATTTTAGAATTTGTACTGCGCATGCCTCTGCGACGCTATGCTGCTCTCTTGCTCTGACGCTCTCTTGGTGAACTGTTTGCTGTGCGCTGTCTCGTATGCGCCGTTTGGCAGCCGCTACCACGAAGCCTCTTTAGCTCAGTGGTAGAGCGTTGGTCTCGTAAACCAAAGGCCGTGAGTTCAACCCTCACAGGAGGCAAGTTTCACATGATTAACTTTTTTGACTCTTTTTCGCATATGACTTTCTTAGTAGAACTTACTAATTCTTCTATATCTTTCTAATTTTCCTAAAATAAAGTATAAATAAATATTTCCATTAATTTTCTCATTTTATAACCATACTCTATTTACTTAGGTGTGTTGTTCTTTCAATGACGATGAGTCACGATCTGTTTGATAAGCATCTCTCAGTTGTTCTCTCTTTCACGCTCATTATTCTTTATTTCCAAGCACCGCTGAGCGGGGTGGGTGATATAAGGCATTTGGCGCCGCTCTTCACAGTGCCTCTTTAGCTCAGTGGTAGAGCGTTGGTCTCGTAAACCAAAGGCCGTGAGTTCAACCCTCACAGGAGGCAAGTGGCAAACTTTCATTAGGTTTCTTTCCTTTTTTTTTTCTTTTTCTTTCAGATATTATTTAAATATGAGGGTTGATTTTATATGTAATTCATAGCTGCCTTTGAGAACACTCCAATGTAGTATTTTTCTACTTATGGCCCTCAAGAACCCTTTAATGTAATATTTTCTTATTTTTCTGAACCCAGGGAGGGGTTGATCAAGGGTTGAGTGGGTTGGTAGTAAGCTTGCCATTTCGGGCAGCAGGAAAGAACATTGCGTCAAGGGCATACCTAACTACTTCTTGAGCCCTCTTCGTGGCCGGCTCCAACTGTTATTTTATGACTGCCCACTCGCACACGCAGGGCGTTGCGCACGTTTGGGCCTTTAAAACTAACGGCAAATACGAGTTGTAAATAGGATTTCGGGCTCTGGCTGTATGGTGAATGATGCGGTCATTATGTCTTTGCATTTGTGTGGGTGTGACCATATGGAGAACGTGCAATGATTATGTACAAGCTACATACAACACGAGTATGTACAGATGTACTTGGTGCTTGTGTATGACCCGATCCTTGTGCGTGGGGTTCCTGTTTGTTTTGGTGGCAAATTAGAGGAAATGCTTGTGGCGCCATAAAGAGCGGAAATAAAAATAAATTTAAGCAAATTGCGAAGAAGGAAACTAGGACTCGATCACAGCTTGACCAGGAAAGATATGCCATCTACTGTCAATGCCTACAGATATCCCCACTTGCCGATAATTATTGTCTTGATTCGAGTAGTGTATACATATGGTACATATATACAATCAACATTATCGAGATGGAGCTGCGACATAGCAGAAACTCTTACGCTGCTTCCCAGGAAGCGTCGAGGAATGACCACTAAAACGTGGCAAAGATCAATACTGGAACTGGAATATTATTTGCTTAGGTCACTCCCACTATGAAGGGTAACTTATTAAACCAACAAAACTCATAAATGAGGCCCATTTAATCCCTGAAAATATGAATTAAACAACTATTAAATGTACACGATTTGTATTTCTCGTATTGTTAAAGTATATGATATACAAATTTGATGTATACTATGTTACTCTTCTTTCTTACTCCCAAAGAAGAAGTCATACAAACCCGCTCCAAGGCTCTGAAAGAATCCACTTGCTACGTCTTTTGCAGGCTCAGTCAAGAACTTGGGAGCTATAAACTTTCTTTTTTTTTTGCCGCCTTGTCTAGGCATGCCATCCACTAATATAGTATCATGATCCGTAGCTGTATTTTCATCGATAATTCTGTCAAGTTTTTCCCTTAGTTCCGGAGATAAGGTGTACGAAATGCGCTCATATATATTGACTAATTCTGGGATATTATTGATCTTGGTCATATCATCATGGGAGCTATTGTAAATTTCAAATAGTTTGCGCTTATCCTCATCCAAATTGTTGTCCGTATACCCACTGTATAAGAGGCATAGGAAGAGCAACGAAAGAAACCTGGAAATACGTATAAATACATATTAAAATGTGAAATTTCTTTTTGATTTACTCGACTTACACTGAAGTTAAGGAAGAAGTGGGCATCGTGACCAGTCTTAAGCGCCTGCTTGAAACAATTGAACTGGTACGTAGAATTCAACAGAATATATACCCCTTGGAGAAGATAAGACAGGCCCATTTGAGATTAACTAATCGGAAGTTGTACAGTGAGGGTTCGAAGTAAATGTTATCAGCAGTTAATCCAGATCATTGGCTTTATTGGCACGCTCTTCTTGGAAAAGCCACGGAGCATTCAGATAATGAGTAATTCTTTAAATAAGGTATGCTTTAAAATAGCTTAAGTGGTACTTATCCGGTACCAAAAAGTAATTGCCAAACAAAATTACAGCTTAAATTGATACACCGGATGGGTTTTCTAATATAATAATTACTCGGGGAACCGTTTCCTCTTGTGACCAATCCTTTTTCAGAAGATTAAAGACAAGTTGCCGCTCAGATCTAGCCATCACTTAATTAAGTGCCCACGCACTCTGAGCACCTGCCAGAGCTATGGAAATGGATGTGTTAATTGTGCCCCGGTAAGGCATGCCACACATTTCAAAGGCTCGACTCTCGACGTGTGAGACAAGGCGGCAAAGCAAGGTAAGGTAACCACATAAGCTCCAAGTGTTGGCATTCTTCGATGCCCCGCCACTAAATGAAATGACATAAATTTAAAGCATCCTGCCACGACCTATGCGAAATTTATGAATTAATAAGGCACGCAGGCGACAAGGTCGGATGGGGGCGCCTTGTGCCTTTTTATTGGATAGCCCCAAACCGGGGACCGGGTCGGTTGAGGGCCTCTCTCATCATCCAGTTGAAACTAATTGAAACTGACAGGGTGCCAGTGCCAGAGCCAGTGCCAGTGCCGAGGCACTTTTGTTGCTGCACATGATGATGACGATGACTGCGCGCACAGCGAGGAAATGTTAATCAGACGGGCCAACTCCGCTATGGCGAAATCAAATCAAGGTAATTTACCGTAAGAGACAAAAAGGCATCATTTCATTTCCCTGCTGTCAGAAGCCGACAACACACCCAGGAAGGCCTTGCCTGCCTGGCAATACTCCGTATGTGTAACGCACAAGGGTATGATAGATTCGCGCAAATGTATGTAACACTAGGAAGAAGACTTCAAATCCTACTGATCTGTTAAATATTTAAAAAAACGGGATGGCTGCCGTTTTTTATCAGCATTATTAAGCGGATATCCCCAGTAGCGGGTATCCTTTTGGCTGTTCATGGTTATGTCGTAGATTGGGTCCCCCATGGGAGTAAGAGTGGAATGGAATTGGCACGAAGAAGGGTAGGGGATTGCAGTAAGCCAAGCCAAGTATTTGCTCTGCAATTTATATGCGTACAGCAGATACCAAAAATTCGGTCTTTTCTTGGAACTGAATGGATGGAGTGGCAGTAGGAGTGGGAGTGGGAGTGGGAGTGGGAGTGGGAGTGGGAGTGGGAGTGGGAGTACCGACTTACCTTATTCCGGGCCCACACTTTGCATATTGTGTACATCTTAAGTCCGTACAGTCAATATCTGACATCTCTCTATCACTGTCTCGCTCTCCTCTCCCCCACACATACGCAAAGAATACTCGCTTGTTGCTTAGTATGCAGATGGCGAACGGCGAACGGCGTGCTGTGTGGCTGTGTTGGTGGGTGTTCGCTCGGGTACCGTTGCCTCCTTTTAGGCAGTGCATTTCCCATTGGCGCCAACTTTCGCCTTTTTTCCTTCGCTTTCGTTTTCCCTTTGGCTTGCCTGCTTCCTTTATTGGTATGTATACCTTTCTGGCTCTAGAGCGCACTTCAACACGCACAAACACATAAAGAAGAAAATTGCAAACAACAAGAAAGCATTTTCCCTTTTAATTTCAACATTTCTCTGCCTTTCCCTTGACTCTTGTTGCCGTTCAGGACCTCTGACTGCTGCCAGCCCATACAGCCCTACAGCCCTACAGAAATGACTGTTGCCTGCTTTGAATTTAAACAAATGACGAATTGTTGCTGCCTCTTTAATGGTTGCCTTCATTCATCCTCCTCAAAGAGACTTTCAGCTATTTATGTGCACGGCTTTGTTCCGTTCCCCGCCAACATTTTGAGACGGCACCGATGTTTGCCTTGTTGGCCGCAAAACTTTTGTTTGCCATTGTTTGCCGACTTTTCGTTTTGTTGTTTATATTAAATGTATATTTGATTCCTTTATGATTTTGTTTACATTATTGCGACGTTTTATTTGTGTGCTCGTCAATTTTAATGAGCTGTCGTGGGCCTATGAGTCTATAAATTTTATATTCCGCCATGTACTTATTCCACGAATGAATTTTTTATTCGGGCAGCAAAATGGCCAATTAATGATAATCAGCTAAAGCAGTATAGAGATTTCCCCTGACAACCCATACCCCAATCAGCACTCTCACATTTTCTTCGGTTTTCTTTAATTTATTGTTGGTTTTCGCCTGTTGTAAGTTATACCTCTTTACATACGTAAATATGTAATATGTAAATATATGTACTTGAGATAGGCTATTTTAGCAGTTTTACTTTTGCGCTTTTCTAAATACATTTTACATTCGGTTTAGTTTAGTTTAAATTAGCTTTAGTTTTAGTTTAATTCAATTAATAATACAATACTCGTACATTTCCGCCCCTTTCGCTTTCGATTTGGTTTCAATTACATATAATACTAAACATTTATAAGATACTTTCAATATCGACAATTGTTTTAATATATAATTAGGTATATATAGATATATTTATGTATATATTGATTCATATTATCTGTGTGAGCCTCGTCATCAGTATATCAGTGTATAATGCAGCTCGATAGTTTTCTCATGCACGTAGCCAAATTATTGTTTACGATTACATATGCAATTCGACTTTTACCCAGGATTTAAACAATTCATGCTCGTAGTTTTATACAATTTTTGCTCGTGTGTCCAATGACGCGCCCTGGCATTTTCATTGGAGTTCTTGTGTAGACAAATATTGGTGTTGATGGAAATGAGATCAACAACAAACCTACATATGTAAATGGGAAAATGCTGAAAATGCGATGCGAGATATGTCAGCGGAATATATGTGTTTCAATGCCGCTCTCAAAGCGGATAAAATCAATAACGAAGAGGGTTCCCTAATGTTCAGCAAATTTTACTGGGCATGTGTTGTATTCCCATCGGTTCTTGGAAGTACTTTGTGTCCATTTGTTTTTTTTTGGCATCTCTCATTACAATTCTTCAATAAATCGGAGTGGTTTTTCAAAAGCTTCTCACATGACATTAAATGCTCCTCTTTGTCCGAGTGGCAGAGTGTTCGGGCCACAAAAATGAGCTACAGAACATTGCGAATGACCAGGTTGGGATTAGATATTTTTCAAGATTTCTTACCATGTAAAAAACCTGGAATTGTAGCCCCCATTAAGTACCTCACTGTCCATAGCTGTCAAGCCAAATATTTGTTGTTGTTGTTTAATATGGCCAAATTTTTGGCTGATTTATTCGCAGCTTTCCAGAATTCGGAATCATTTTGAAGAGCTGCTTTGCTTGTCTTGTGACGGCCTTTGTAAGATATTTATTGTAAATATGGTTCTAATATCGATTCGTGTTCGAGTTTTATGGATTGCGTTTGCCTTTTTGCTTAGGCCATAATTTTTTCGGGCCAGATGTTTTCTGCCTTTATCCTATGCTGCTATGTATACAGCAATATGTATGTATATAGTATTTGTGTTGTTTTTCCAAGTTTCGACTTTTATTAGGCTAATAAAACTTTAAATTTACCATTTTTGTTTTCGTTTTTTGTATGCTCGGTACTAGAGCTGGATATTTGTTTTGCTGGTGATTTCTGTTTCTACAATATTTCGTTAGTTTCAAGGGAGTAACCCGTATTTCAAATTGTTCAGTGTTTCAGTGTATTCCTGACTTTCTGGTCTATTGGAGACTGTAGTACCTTCTCTGGGTCTTATCTCATTGCACTTCCATTACATTCGAATCTGTTTTATGTATTCCTCTCGTTTTGTTTATTCTTCAATGCATTAACGGATTTTGGGGCTAATAAAATGTTCGATTTGTTGTTGTTATCTGCCTCTGCCTCTGCCGCTGTCAATTTATTTTCACTTTGTTGTCTGCTCGTAAATCCGAATTCGTCTTCATTCATCAGCGAAATTTATGCGCACCAGCTCAACATATCAAATTTGATGGGTCTCTCCGCTCTCCCCCGACATTAAGTGTGACTCGCATTTAATTAGCAGGAAACCCCAAGGAACGACACAGATATGGAACACAAAACGGAAAAGAACGCGGTCCTGGCTTAAGTATTTCTGAATAAATAATTGTCTAGGCTTACGGGGTATGTGTGGATTGTTAGTTCAATTGTACATCTGAAATGTTCCCATTTGTATATCGAGAGGTGGGTTGAAACTCAAACCTTTGGATTCTCCTTGGCATCCTGCTGCTGCTCGTTCCTGTCCTATTTATGATCTTCTATGCGCATAATGGATATCTCATTAAAGCGAAAGACACACACGCAAAATACTGACGAGGCAGCCAGAAGAAGGTCACAAGGACGACAGGATGTCGATGTTGATGTCAGCTGTTAGTTGTTGTTCTTGAGAATGTTGTCGTAACGTGGCCTGTGGGCCTCAGCAGAATCCGGGACAGGGCGAAACACAGAAGGATAGAGACAGCTGGTTGGGTGGATGGGGGCTTAATGTAGGGATATGGGCGGCATAGTGGCCTTAATCCCGGATGAAGACAAACTCATTGTAGTGGTTCCAGCGGTTCTCCTCCGTGTCCACGCCCGGCTTGGGCTCCGCGGCCGAGCCAGCCGTCCCCGAGCCACAGCTGCCGGCCAGACGATATCCGTGATCGTGCAGATTGTCGAAGGCCTGCTCGATAAAGCAGTGCTTCAGGAAGAAGCGCGAGGTGTAGCGGTCAGGACCGCCGTGGTCCGGATCCCGTGACTCGTTCAGCGTATCGCCGAAGATCTCCCGGCACTGGGCCACACGGCCGCAGACCAGGATGCGGGACAGCTTGCGGAACTTGACATCAGCCAGGCCGTCCTTGCCGAACTGAAAGCTGCCCCGGTAGCCAATGGTGATGCAGCCGGGCGGACGGGCGTCCCGCTCCCCGCGTATGCAGTCGAGCATGGCGGTGAGCTTGAAGTGCTCCGCCTCGCGCTGCAGGCGCTGACGCTCGCGGAAGCCCTCTGGCAGATGCAGCGCCTTATCGCGCAGGTAGTCCAGGATGTACCGGAAGAGGACTCCGTCGCGGTCGAGGAAGTAGCGACCCTTGCTGTCCTTGGCCAGCGATTCGCGTCCCTCGCCAAAGAGTTCGTGCAGCAGCGATGTCTTGTCCTGCAGCAGAGTGGCCAGCGTGGTCGTGTAGCTGACACCGCCAACATTTAGCTCAATGATTTCGGACATACTGCGGCCTGGCCTGTCGAGTGTCGGTTGTCGGTTGTCGGTTGTCGGTTGTCGGTTCTCGGTTGTTGCAGTGGGTCAGCGTTAATTGCTTATTAATCTGTGGCACCTTCTCGCACAGCCACCAACACACATATGGCAGGCACGTACACTTCTCCGCCCACAATTCTCAAGTTCACACAATTTCTGGTTTGTTTACAGCACTGGCACTGGCACTGGCACTGGCTCTTACAATGTTTTGTTCCGCTTGGTAGCCGCTGCACGCGTCCGCACTCGCTCAGCTCTCGTGTCGAACTGTGGCACCTGCTCCTGGCCAGAGAGCTGGGGACTCTGCCTGCCAGAGTGCCACTTTTCACTCGCCCGTTGGTGTAGTCCATTTGTGTGTATTCATTGTGGAAACTTCCAAGAGAGAAAACTGTACTCTTCTCTCTTTGGCCCTCTCTCTTTCGGCCTGCGCACTCGCTGCGTTTGTTTTGATATTGGATATTATTGTTTAACAAGTGGTTAAATTTAAAAAATGTGCACGGGATATTTTTGGCATATGCGTGCGAAGGGCTGCTCGCTGCTCGAATGTAATTAATTTGATGAGGGTTTCCAAGGGTCCACAGGGCGTATGCTTAATAGCCAATATGCTGGATTACTGTTCGCTGATTCAGTGCTCTGTGCTCTGTCTTAGGCGGCAGCAGGTAGACTGTTGTTTGCCGTGCCTGCCACTACTTAGATGCTAATACAGCCCAAAATATGTGTGAGCTGCTTAGAGATGCCCTTTGAGGATTCTCTTATTAGAATTCAGCATACGTAGAGTGTGTTCATTTTTGAGGGTTTTGCACCCGAGCAAAGTTCACGTCCATGCCATAACTAAATTTGTGGCAACAGCACGCATTGCATACTTTAAGGCGCCGCACATACATAGTTCATGCCTCGGCATGCCAAATATTCCTGTTTCTCGTGGTGGCAGGGCAGCAGGGTCACAGTGGCAACAGGCGCTGACAATTTGACACCGTGACACTGACATTAACATGCCACAGCAGGCAACCAGCACCCCATCGAGCAGCACCATAGCCAGCACCAGCTCCGACAATGCAACTGGTTGGGCGGCTGCCTTGGCCAGTTTTGGCCTCGTGCCAAATGGGCCACCCAAGGGCCTCGACTACTGCAGCTCAGGCCAGACTGCCTGGCAGCTCACCTGTTTGCTGTTAACATTTCATGAGCCCTGTTCACAGGCCTACACATACACATACACAGGCATGGACATGGGCTATGGGCTATGGGCCACTTTGTGCGTGAGTCTCGCTGCAATTGAATCAACAACAAGAGGCACAGCGAATTCCTGGCTCAGTCTCTTACGCAGCTCGTTAGCCTACTCTCTCTCTCTCTGGGTTATCCCTTTGAAGTGGCGGAGAGTGGGAGATACACACCAATACACGAGCCCACTGCTAATTGCAATGAAAAGAGAGTCGGCGGTGGCCCCAAGTGCGTTCAACTCAGCCAAACCCCCAGCCGTCCCCCCATGTCTGAACTTGTTTGCCCATCTCGCCTACTTGCTCGACTCATTTCCGTTTCCTGGTGTGGTCTCTGTGGTCCCCCACTTCCTCTCCTTCACTCGCTGCCTAATGCGCTTCCTTATCACACGCCTGCCCTGCCTACACCCGTCCAAGTATTCGCGGCCATGAGTTTGTGGTTTTCGGCACGCATTAAGATGGCGCAACACTTTACGCGCCATTACGCGTTGCCTGCATCTGTCTGTGTTCGCCTGTGTGTGTGTGTGAGTGTGGGGCGAGCCTCAGATTGTGTGCGAGTGTGATTGCTTTGCTCTCTTGTCGGTTCTCCTTTTAGCTGTGACTCTGCTGCTTGTTTGTCTGGCTGGCTGCCGCGGTTCAAATTGATTTTGTCTGGCAGCCTGTACACACACATTTCGCGGCGACTGTCCCTGTGTGCGCTCTTGAGTGCTTCTATTTACTGTAGCACTTTGTTTTGACAACGCGCCAAATTGTCGCCCTTCATTCGCCAAAAGCCGTTTGCATGCTATTTCTGGTTTGTTTGTTTGAGATTTTTCAAAAAGGGTTGCAAGACAGGTCTTATAAATGTAATGAAATCTTAAAGAGGGATTCCAACTTGAGATAGGTAAAAGTCAATTTGAATATTATTCTTTACTTAAGTTACCCCTATTTTCCTTAAAAAAAACTTTCCAATGGCTGGCTGCCAAAGTACACATGGAAATCCCAAAATAAACGTTTAGCACATTTCAAGGTTTACATTTGTCAATCAAGCTTCTAGTGCAAATTGTGCATTTGATTTGACTGAAACAATTTGGGGCATTGGCATTGACAGTGCAAACAGCAAATCGACCTGGCGCTTCGCTTGTCAGAATTGGCACGCCCCAGAATACCATGCCAAAACAAATCAAATCAAATCAAATCAGCAATCAGCTCCCCCACCCACTGACTCAATCAGGAATGAAATCTTCACACAGAGACACCCAATGTTGTGGGGAATTAAATATTGACTAAAGTCATATTTGGTGCCTTAGCTGAAACATATTTGACCAAAAATGCAATTAATTCAATGAATCATTTGCAATTATCAGTTGACAGCCATTTGGAATGGCACCGCCCTGTCAGACAGATAAGAGTTGAATAAATTATTGAACTACGAGATAGTAAATCATCCATCATCCATTCGTAGCTATAAATTGAAGTGTTTCTTTAAACAGAGTGCCAGTATAGCAATGAAGGTTCCGGTGTTCCAATTAAGTTGTCTGTTGTGCCTGATCGTGTGTCTCCTGTGCTCAGTCAAGGCACAAAAGGACGATCAATACGACACTGAAAAGAGCAGGATACTCGAAATATATAATAATCCGGCAGTAGATGAATTTACGAAGGAAAGGAATATTCCAAAACTAATCGAATTTTATAGGCGCTATCCCGCTCGCATTCAGCTGCCCGATGCCGATAAGAGACAATGGGATGAGTTCGTTGCCAGATATACCGAGTCCCAGACTAAGTTGGTGGATGGACTTCCGGCTCAAGGAGGATGGGTTGGATCCGTTCTGTCCAGTACGGTCGGCAACTTGATAGCCAAGTTCATCTTTAGTCTCATCAGATACGATCCAACGACACCTAAGCCAACTGGGGCACACTGAAAAATATAATAAATATTCGCCCATATTCCTCTCTTATAATGAGGTCTCTCTCATAACGAAGGAATTCAAAAATACTCAATATATTATTTTATGAAAACCTGATATAATCGAATTGTTTTTAAAAAAATAAAGGAATGATATGCAAAATACACTTTTTCTTTTGACCTCAAATAATGACGGTCATCAAAGGTTCTGTAATTTAAGTACATATGTATTTAAATTTGTTAATGAACCCTTTTCCTATGAATAGTAGAGATTTCAAATCACAAGCACATTAGTATTTTTATTTATTAAAATAAATTGAAATTATTGCGTGTTTAAATCATTTGAAAAAGTATTTTATTAAATCTCGAAGCCAGAAAGACTAGCTTTTGGATGACGATAGATAGATCGTTCTTATATAAGCTTTATGATCTTTTACTACAATTTTTGTGAGCTGAATTATTTCATCCCTGTAGAGCGAAATTTTCCTAGTTTTACCTTTTGAAACATGAAAGTTTGCCGCTCCAAGGCTTGATTTGTGGCCCACTATTTATGGCAGCTATACGTGTGCAAATAATATGAGGAAAGGGTATTCCCAGGGAAGAATAAAGCACAACAAATGGTCTATGTAAAGTAATAAAAATATTCTAAATTGAAAATCAGAGCCTGAGATACATACCTAAGGTACATATATTTGTTGGTTTCCAAGGAAATCTAGTGCAGGGGTCGGCAGCGATTGGTGTCCTCTAATACACGTGTATACGAGAGTTCCGTCGGGTCTTAGTCCGTCTTAACCCGAGATTACAGATCAAGTTTTCTTTCCTGGAAACCCGAGAAAGCAGATTAAGCCTCATTTTCTTCGAAATCTCAAATGTATTGATTCCAAGAAAGAAAACGCTCTGTGTGAAAATAAAAGCGTTACAAACAAAAATAAAACAGCAAACCGAATGAAATAAGTGATAAGAATTCTCTGAGCCAGCCTATATAAAGTGATGCGGCTCCTAGGGAAATTATCATTTCAGTTCAGATCGTCATCCCGACAGCTAGACTCGAAAGACTCGTAAAAAACAATGGCCAACGCAATCCGCCTAGTGTAAGTGATCTCGTAATGGTAAAAAAAAACAAACTTCGTTTAATGAAATGGTTTTCTCTTAGTTCCCTGATGGCTGTCCTTGCATGCCTCGTGTCCATTGGGTGCGCTCAGCATGATGAGGAAGAGAAACGTCGTTTGGTTTATATCTACACTAATCCTGATGTGGACCAAGCCACAAAGGAGACCAATCTGGGGAGCCTTGCTAAGTTCTATGAGGACCATTCCAATAGTCTTCAACTGCCCGAAGATCAAAAGCAGCGCAACGATGAACTTTTGGAGAAGCACAAGCGTATAAATAGTTCTGAAGTGCTCATCGATGGAGTTCCAGCCAACGGTGGCTGGAAATCGTCTCTTCTTAGGCACATAGTGGTGGAGGGAGCCATTCAAGCCGTGGGCGCAGCGGTCGAACATGCCAGGTCGTCCTCAAAGGGACTGGAAATCAACCGAGAGGTCGCCATTTTCGGTCTAGTTTTCCTCGTCGCCAGCTATATGTTTAGGACTAAATCAATGTAATCCTCTGAACTTATTGTTCCAAAAATATTATAATAAATACCGAACATGCATATAAAAACTACAATATCATTTTTAAAGTCAAGCCGTTAATATTATACAAAAACCTTTAAGGAGTTTGATCATTCATATGTCAGCTATATGATATCGATACCCGATGTTGCCGATTCAGATTTATATAATGCATGTACCAAAAGGCCCTTCTTCTGTATAATTTTACAGACTTGGCATCATAAAATAGATGATTGCAGGTATGCAAGACATGCAATTTATATATTATATTGTAGCTATGCCAATATAATAGTCTTAGCTTTCTCTATCAGATAAGGTGTGTGGATCTCTCACATATGTTGAGGTAGTCGGGATCGAGCGATGGCAACTCGAGATAGGGAAATTTATTAAAAACCTTATCAACCTCTTGATTGAATAATTACTCAATTGATGAATAGCCGCCAGCTCGTTTGAATACATAGCCTTGCAGTTCATAATCTTTCTGAGAAAGGAAATAAATATGTAAATGTCGATTAAATGTTTGCCCAAGTGCTAGATTGAGACCAAGCTCAGATAACCCAAGGTTACTTACATTCTGGGAAGCTGCCCTATAATCTTTCCCAGAATCTGGGTTCTTGGAATAAAGACGATGAGGAGATGCTGTATGCCATAAGAAGCAAACACGCGCTCTACTGATGAAATCAGTCCAAATAATTCTCAAATCGATCTATTCAATTGTCACACATAAGTTCTGTTTATTTGCTATATCTACACGTAACATTCGCGTTCCATCGTTGGCCTCCCAAAGAATGGACTTGGATTATTGATTGGCAAAATGGTTGATAGCTCCCGGCATCTGCGTGCGTGCCCCAAATGGATTTGCAAATGGCTTCTGCTAATTGCGTACAGCCGGCGGCAGCTTAAGGACCTAACCCAAGTACTTATGCAAATGCATGCCACTGCTGCTTGTGTGGGTACGAGTATTTGTGTTGGGGCTATTGCTGGGGCTGGTGCTGGTGCTGGTGCTGGCACGAGTGTGCGTATGCACAATGTCAGCTATTTGCCGAGCAGAAAATGCACGCTCAGGCACGCTGAGAGCACCGGCGTGCGTATTCTCAAGATACATTGACGCCTGCACGGCGTTATGTAAATGCAAAGGAGAGCACCAGGCTGCTGGGCAATTTAACACCACAAGGGGTCGGGGAAAACCGAGAGAAGCGGTGGGTGTGTATGCAAACAAGCAGTCGTCTAAGGAATACCCTTGCCCATTCATCACAGCTATCGTGCACATCTGAACGTGCAGGCGAAAGAGTACTGGGAGCAGGTGAAGATACAGATGCATTCCGGACTAGAGTCGTGGGCCCGGGGGCTGACGTTGACGTTGATTTTATTTACGGCTGACAGCAACAGTTTGCTACTAGCCAACACTCGCCTCTCTCTCTCTCTCTCTTGACGGCCATTGTGTGTGAAGGACATGCCCGAAAGTAAAAACATAAAAACCTTCCGGCAGCAAGTACGTGTGTGTGTGTGTGTGTCTATAAGAGTCACTCGCTGCAGCAATTTTTCACATTTTTACTTTACCATCATTATTAAAAATAAGAGATGTTCGCGCACTCCCATGCTTTACATGCTCTAAATGGATTATTCAAAGCCTGGCCCATAAATCTAGTGGGACCTTCAAAATCAAAGAGTGGGGCGCAGCAGCCACGGTCGGCCCTGACAAGCGCAGAATTACGAGTACTGTACCACCACCAGCAAAAATTCGAATGAATTTGTTTACCAGCCATTGTGTCAGGCACTCGGCCCCGTCCATTTTTCCTTCTCGACTGGTTCCCTTTCGCGCTGGCTGCACTTATCGACGCTTGTTGCACACACCCATGGGGCCCGAAACAAATTTCGCAGAAAGCTGTTTTCAATCTCTTTCTCCGAGCTCCCCCTCATTCTCTCTCGCTCAGTGCGCCCCATTGCATTTGGCTGTTTTCCTTTTCGTTTTCGTGTGCTTTCGGTGTATTTATCGTTGCTTTCTTAAACACAACAACCCCATCCCACCCCACCCCACCCCATCCACTCGGCCGCACAATCCGCAGCTACTTTCCCCTGATCCTGACCCATTAGCCGTACAATTGTGCGATGCGCAACGTATGCCGTGCACGTTTCTTTTATCTGGTGGATTTATTTTCAAGTTTCTGCAATTTCTGCATTCCGTCGGACTTTTTTTGTGCCTCGCGGTGGAGTGGCAAGGAATTACAAGTATCCTCGTTAAATTGGCGTTAAAAAGGTGAATCTCAACTAATTAATACGGCTCAAAGTTGTTCAATGATTGACTCTAATGAAGTGCGAGTGTGATTCGATTATGGCAGCGGCAAAACTTTTTGCCCGAGAACCATTTCATTGATAAAACACAACCCACTCAGAAGCTATAAATATTCGGGGCGAATTCAACATCAGCTGGTGCCGAAGAAGACCCAGAAAATGCAGAAACAAATTGCTTGGCCATCTGCATTCGCATTCCCATTACCATTCGCGGCAGACAGACTGCAGAAATATGCACAGAAATTTGAGTGCGGGGCAAGGAAAACGTTAGAAAATCGCACAATTAAAAGTAAATAATTGCGAGTTTCATAGCCGATCAAAGTCCAGAATATATTTATGGATTTTTGATTACAGCGGTATAGACGGACCATTAAAACCGAAGCCAAATAGGATGTGGCGGTCAGGCGGGGGATTCCGCTTCACAGTGTGTTTGTTTCAGTTTTTGTTGGTCGTCGACGACTGCCGGTCAGAGCGGACAAATGTCGGTGAGTACAAACTCATTATATAAGCAGGAATTTGCAGTGTGTGGCTCGCCGCGCATTCTGTGGCATGTATTTTTATGCCGCATGCCACATTGCGGCGAGTCTGCCAGTCGGCCAGTCGGCAAGCCCCAAAAATATAAACAGAACTCGCCAAGCAAAACAAAGAGAGGAAAACTGTGCCGTGCACTCTCTCATTATAAATTCGTTTCTATCTATCTTCGGAGGTCTCATCTACGAGAACACCGAACCCGATCTAGAGAAGATCTTCCATCTGGCCATAAGCAAGGCGAACGAGGAGAATGAAAAGATGCAGCTGCACGGCGTGGCCGTGGCCATTGAGCCGGGCAACTCCTTCGAGACCTCCAAGAAGCTGTGCAGAATGCTTAGGGTGAGTCCCCAGTCCCCTGCAGTAAGCCTCATTAAAACCTATTTCGATGTACAGCAAAATCTTGTGGCCGTCTTTGGACCCACCACCAATTTGGCGGGCCGTCACGCCATGAGCATCTGCGATGCCAAGGAGCTGCCGTTTCTGGACACGCGCTGGGACTTCGATGCCCAGCTACCGACCATCAACCTGCATCCGCACCCGACGACTCTGGGCGTGGCCCTCAAGGACATGGTGCTGGCCTTGGGCTGGGAGAGCTTCACGATTGTCTACGAGTCGGGCGAGTATCTGGCCACCGTGAAGGAGCTGCTGCAGATGTACGGTACGGCCGGGCCCACCATCACCGTACGCCGCTACGAGCTGGACCTCAACGGGAACTACCGCAATGTCCTGCGGCGTATACGCAATGCGGACGACTTCTCACTCGTCGTGGTCGGGTCGATGGGCACGCTGCCCGAGTTCTTCAAGCAGGCCCAGCAGGTGGGTCTGGTGACCAGCGACTATCGCTATATGATTGGAAACCTGGACTGGCACACCATGGACGTGGAGCCCTTTCAGCATGCCGGCACCAACATCACGGGTCTGCGTCTGGTGTCCCCCGACAACGAGCAGGTGCAGGATGTCGCCAAGGCCCTCTACGAGAGCGAGGAGCCATTTCAGAACGGTAAATCACCTGGACAGCTTCCACAGAACTGTGAGGATGTCGGATGGCGTGTCCCAGGACTCGAGAGAATTTAAGCAAATCCAAAATCTACTCGCATGAGTGAATTTAAATAATTGAATTGCATTCCCATGCCCCGGACGACGACTAGGGGCAAAAAATGATAAATGACGTTTTTCTTTATGACTCTTTCTCCGCTCTATTCTGTCTATTCAATGCAGTGTCGTGCCCTCTGACCAACAGCATGGCCCTGGTCTACGATGGCGTCCAGCTGCTGGCCGAGACCTACAAGCATGTGAACTTCCGGCCCGTGCCCCTGAGCTGTGGCGATGACAGCGCCTGGGATAAGGGCTACACGCTTGTCAACTACATGAAGTCGGTGAGGAGCTGGCCGGGGGGCAAGTCTGAATAACTCATGCAACTCTCATGGTCTGTCTCTCCCCTCAGCTAACGCTGAACGGCCTCACGGGTCCCATTCGCTTTGACTACGAGGGACTGCGCACAGATTTCCAGCTGGAGGTCATCGAGCTGGCAGTGTCGGGCATGCAGAAAATTGGCCAGTGGAGCGGCGAGGATGGCTTCCAGGCAAATCGTCCGGCTCCGGCGCACTCCTTAGAGCCGGATATGCGTTCGCTGGTGAACAAAAGCTTCGTCGTCGTCACGGCTATTGTGAGTGTGGATGTGGGTGAGGGTGAGCTCGTGTACCCGCTGACCTAATGGCTTCCTTTGCCCAGAGCGAACCCTATGGCATGCTGAAGGAGACCTCCGAGAAGCTGGAGGGCAACGATCAGTTCGAGGGCTTTGGTATCGAGCTCATCGATGAGCTCTCCAAGAAGCTTGGCTTCAGCTACACCTTCCGCCTCCAGCCGGACAACAAATACGGTGGCCTGGACCCCAAGACGGGTGAATGGAATGGCATGCTGCGGGAAATAATCGACAATGTGAGTTGTGGGGGTTGAATCCCGTTGGGGCTATTTATCAAGCTTATCCCTTGTCGACCTTGTCGGGTTATTAATTTACTTTTAATGGCCATAAACGCTGCCATCATCGTTAATATTAATATGACCCTTATACGATTAGACGATGCTTTTAAAAGTATCGCACTATTTATATCGTGGTGTGTCACTGGCCTTGCAACTGCAGTTGCCCCAAATTAATACTCGGCATAATTGGACGCTTACATTTCCATCTCCATTTAGCATTTTGCAAAGACAATAAGGGTAACTGTTCATATAGTTTATTGATTACATAAATCTATGTATCTTTTTTTGCTGCATCTTCCCCGCTAATTTTTTTCTTAAGGTATTCGGTCAATTTATTGAATAGAGCTTTGGCAGTAGTTTTGGCAAGTTCCTTAGCCTGATCCTTGACTTCATCGGGTACTTTATCTGCCCCCTTCTTAATCAAATCCCACACTCCACCCTGAATAGGCAAACCGTCCACCGTCAGGTTTTCAGTCTCAAATGCTCTGATATCTCGATCCAAATCGAGCTCCACCTGATGTCCAGGTAAAGTGCGACGAGCATGTTTCTTGTACAGCGCAATAGCTTCTTGGGTGTTTCTCAGCAGCTCGGCATCGTCTGCCGGTTCCGGATTACTGAGGAGTTGGTTTAGGCGGTCACGATCATCGTCTATCGGATTGGCACTGATGGTGCCCGTCAGGCACGCCAGAAGAGCCAAAACAAAACTGAAAGGAATGGTGGCTAAGTCTTATATCTCATGTATTTATTTCAATCCCTTACCTGAGGTGGATTAGGCGAGACATTTTTGAATTTCCTTCCTCTGGGAGGCTTTGAGTAAACTGATATTTGATGCCGCCCTTGTGGCCCTTTTAAAGGCAGACGTATCATGAGATGAAGCTCAGTTTTAACAGGAATTGATAACAATGTCAAATGTATTCTATTGATAATGCGCCTGAATTCCGATGAATTTCGCTGTTCGGGATAATATTAAAATCTCTACAAGCTGGGGCTTACTATCACTGTAATGTGCACACTGCCCAGAAGAGCTGCTCTCTTTTACGAGGAATTTTGTCAGAGGCTTAACTCGCAGCGAATAAATTTCAATTAAAATGCATAATTAACAGATGGCCCTATCAGCATGTGCAACTGAGCGTATACGCAATATTTACATATGCTTTTCTATTTACATTTCGAAGTGAATAATACATACACATGTACGTACACAGGTTCAGACCAGATTAAATAATTTTTCATATTTGATTAGCGCGCTGACATGGGCATTACCGACCTGACCATGACATCAGAGCGGGAGAGCGGAGTCGACTTCACCATACCCTTTATGAGTCTGGGTAAGAGCTGTGGCAGCTGTTCCAAGAAGTGTATTAAAACTGATTGACACTTCTAGGAATTGGAATTTTGTTTCGCAAGCCAATGAAGGAGCCACCCAAGCTATTCTCCTTCATGTCGCCCTTTTCCGGCGAGGTCTGGCTCTGGCTGGGCTTGGCCTATATGGGTGTGTCCATAAGCATGTTCGTGCTGGGCCGTCTGTCGCCGGCGGAATGGGACAATCCGTATCCCTGCATTGAGGAGCCCACGGAGCTGGAGAATCAGTTCAGTTTCCCCAATTGCCTGTGGTTCTCGGTGGGCGCCCTGCTCCAGCAGGGGTCCGAACTGGCGCCCAAGTGAGTAATCGATTACAAAATGTTCATTTATTTATGTTTATTTAGTTTTACCTGTTCAAAGGGTATACTACGGGTTTATTCGAATCTATCAAACTTGAAAATTATCCACACCTATTGAAGGGAATTTTGGGGCGACTGGCTCACGAGCGAAGCGATTGTGCAGGGGGTATATATAATGTACAAGTACTATTACATTTCCTCAGTTTTTATAAATTAAATACATATCTGTTTGAGAGTGCATAGGAGTTCCGAGTCGGTATGGAGTTACGAATTGATCTTTTTTTGGCAGGGCGTATTCAACTCGAGCTGTGGCCGCATCCTGGTGGTTCTTTACACTGATTCTGGTCTCATCGTACACGGCCAATCTGGCAGCATTTCTCACTGTGGAGTCCTTGGTGACGCCAATTAATGACGTGGACGATTTGTCTAAGAACAAGGGCGGCGTGAACTATGGTGCCAAGAATGGCGGCAGCACCTTCACGTTCTTTAAGGTGAGTAAAGATGGGAGCAAAGGTAATTAAGAAGAGCTTCAACAACGCGAATTTAATTAATTTATAGGAGTCCAACTATCCAACGTATCAGAAGATGTACCAGTTCTTGACAGATAATCCTCAGTATATGACGAACTCTAATCAGGAGGGCGTCGATCGTGTCGAAAACAGCAACTATGCCTTCCTCATGGAGTCCACCACGATCGAGTACATCACTGAGCGGCGCTGCACTTTGACCCAGGTGGGAGCGCTGCTGGACGAGAAGGGCTATGGAATAGCCATGCGGAAGAGTAGTTCATCCTCAGCGTCAGTGTCGGCAAGGCTGTTCCTAATCGGATTCTTTCACAGACTGGCCATATCGCGACATTCTCAGCCAGGCCATTCTAGAGATGCAGGAGCAAGGACTGCTGACCAAAATGAAGACAAAGTGGTGGAAGGAGAAGCGCGGCGGGGGAGCCTGTTCGGTAAGTGTCTGAATCAATCTTGGCCAGCTCGTGTGGGTCAGTGTCCATGTGTGGGTGTGTGCAGGATTCGGACGACGATGCCGGCGCCGTGGCCTTGGAGATAAGCAATTTGGGTGGCGTCTTTCTGGTGATGGGAGTGGGCTCCTTCTTTGGCATCTTTGTCTCCCTGCTGGAGATGGTGCTCGGTGTGAAAGAGCGCAGCGACGAGAACAAGGTATCGACACGACAGACTCCTGACTTCCAGTCCGATTAGTTTTCCTGCCTGCTGTGCACACCATCGCACACCAACGCACACTTACACACGCACACACGCACACCGCCATTTTCCTATATTTATCGCAATATTCGACGTTATTTGCATGGGAAAATCTGTAGGAGGAAGCCGATTCGGATGCCTCCTCGCTGGGCTTTGCTAATTTGGGCGGCGTCTATCTGGTCATGTTCGTGGGCAGCTGCTTTGGCAGCGTTTACGGCCTGGTTAACTGCGTGGTCAGCATCTACTGGAGTGCGCGGGAGAACAAGGTAAACTGGACGGCGCTCTAAAAATATTAACACCTGCCCTGACGGTCGGAGTGGGCGTGGACCCATATGTGTCGTGACTAAAAATGGCCATGAAAAGGTCATGTTTCATCAGCTCCCAGCAGCGACAATTTGGAGCAACTGGAGCAACTCATCTGTCCAAAATATTCTTTCAGTCCATGCATTAAATATTAACCAAGCTTCCCTCGACAAATTCCTCTATTTGCTTGCGATAGTTCAACCGACTGCATGCCCCCTAAGCCGCCTTAACTTTTGCTCTCAACTCTCATCGATTTAATTTGTATCTACATCCCAGGTGAATTTCAAGACCGAACTGATCGATGAGATTCGTTTCATAATACAATGCTCGGGCAACACCAAGGCGGTGAAGTACCCGAAGAACTCTTCGCGCTCGATAGCCAGCTCAAAGTCAAAGGGCTCTTCAATATCCGTGGACTCGCTGCCCGAGGATCCCTCAGAGGGTGAGGCACCAGACAAACATCCAAATCATGCCAAGAAGTAATGCAGAATAATGCAGAGTAATAAATACTTATTTCTGGGAAATCATATGGGGAAATTTCGTGAATAAACTTTTGCTTCCAAGCTTTGAGTTGGGAAAAATGCTTTGAGTTTTCTTCTCCATCCAATGATAGCTTTTGAAGGGAAAGCTTATTTAAAAGCTCTTGGAGCTTTGAGACAAAAGTATCTTTCCAATATTACCACCGTGTAATGTTTTATGTAAAAATTATGTAGAATTTTCCCGGTCAATTTTCTCAATTTTTGAGTTTTAAATCTGTTAGATTTAAATATTTTTCCCAAAAAGAACTTAATAAAACAGCTTTGTGTTTTAAAAATAAACGAATCGTATGAAAAATTTATTAATTCCCCGGAAAAACTATTTAATCCTTAAAAAAGTTCTTAAAACATACAGTATATTTCAATATTCACCGCGGACAATGAAACACAACAAGAAAATCAGAAACTCCATTTGAATATCCCATACAAATAACCATATTATAACACCCAAGCACTTTTCAGTAATTAGGTTAAGTACACAATTAAGTAATTAGTGGAGAGAGGTCGTAAACCAAACCGTTCTCAAAATTCAACCGAACCAAAATTGAACTGTTAAGACTCTTTAAGAAAAGAAACAAAGGGTGTTATCCGTTTGAATATCAATATATTTATCGACTTGCTCGTATTATAGCGTGTCTCGACACATATACTCGTATTTAATTATACATCCAATATATTGGTAGCTTTCTTTGCGGAGTTACATTTAATGCTTTTTGTTAGACACTGAGATGTTGAAAAGGTAAAATTGTACGAAGTTTTTGATTTGTAGGACTACTGACTGCCCATCCTGACTGCCATCGTTGCCCCCATTCGGGCATGCAGTAAAGTAGAAGTGTATATGTTGTTATCGTGTATAAGTTGTATAATAATACGAATACCATTATCATATATGTATGTATGTATATAACCATGTATAGTTCATATGTATGTCGTCTCTGTGGGTATGCATCAATATCAATATCGCCCAACTGTTGTCTCTATATCCTATATTGCAATGCGCTTACAATGGTAACACTCAGGCACACACATACACTGGGCCGGACAGCCGTACAAATATTTGTTAATAATAATAGATTTTGATTAAGTTTCATAACATTATTTCCTGATCTGCTTACATTACATTACAATTAGTTGGCTATAATTGCATGTATGTATATAGTGTAATCATTTAGTTTTATAATATATATATTTTTATCAAGAAGCATACAACATAACACTTGCCACTTTGATTCATATTTATCTCCATTCGAAATTGCATTATCTACTATCAAAACCAACATTTAACTACACAAACAACGGGGTCAACCATCTAAATGAATTTGAATTGAGTTAATATGGTGTTCTGCATATTTAATTAGTTTTCTAGGCTATTTCTCCCAACACTGAATTATCTATTTTGATTTACTTTTCATAATTAGTTTTACTGGGCTGTTCAATGGGCTGTCTCTGTTTCTGTGTCGTCTGTGGTCAGCTCCCGCTTCCACTTCTGACCCGAAAGGCCGCTGGGGCAGGGATACTTTCAGTTTCAATTTAAAGCGTGGAGGGGGTCATTAAAAGGATGCCCCGTCACAAAGTGGATAAATTAACCAGCAATTGAGCTCCGTGAAGCATATAATAGGCAGGCAAACAATTGTTCGTCTAATTTATGCACTCAATTAAACTTCCATTGAGGGAAGTCTACTTCTGATATTCTGCAATACTGATATATGTACATACATATACATACTTACGTACAGATATGTTTGTGTGTATATAAATTGCTTGGTTTTTCCTCTGTGTATCGGTGGGCGTGTCAGAATTGTAGTTGTAGTTTTTAGTTGTAGTTGTTGTTGCTGTTGCTGTGGTTGTTGTTCTGACATAGAAAGGCTTCTTCTAGATTCTGTCTGTGTCAGTTCATTACGATTTTGTGTAATTTACACTTGCTAGCTGCTTCTGTACGAGTAAATAATAAAAGAAATGAAAATGGAAATTGTGAATTGTGAATTGCTAGCTCTCGTATAAAGTTGTAAGCTCGTCTAAGGTTTTTCTTTGGTCTTTTGTATTCGAGTGTTTGCGTTGTGTCCTTCGGTTGGTTAGGGATTGGATTGGGTTACAAAGCTACATATACACGTTAGTTACAACAACACATACATTAATACATACACATATCTCTCTTAAAGCTTAAAATTACCAGCACGCACACACACACGCATTAAGCAATGCCTATGAGTGTGTAGATGTGGATGTAATTATATCTGGGTTGCATAGGACTGAAGGACTTAAAGCTGAACGTTTTGATACACACTTAAAGCATTTGCTTGTTACTAAAAATATTCGGCAAAACCAGGAGTTAACATTCGTTAAGATCTAGAATATTGGCTGCTCCATGTCGCCACGGATTGGTGTTGCCTTAAAAGGTGTAACGAGCTATCGCACTCGCTCACATCAATTGGATTGGGAATATTTCCCGCATATTGTCTAACTAGGTAAGTAATACATCTAGGGACAGGGCTCGTATAATATAGGCAATTCAATACAGGTCTTTAACTAGTTCAACATTCCGCTGGCAGCTAATCAACCAGTTCGCTTTCGAGTAGAACATTTTAGGCCAAATCCAGCCGAAACAAAGATAAAATCTATCCTCCGAAATGAATTATGCTCCCAATCAACTGTTGCTGTAGTTAGTTTGATTATTTCACATATACATACATACTATATATCTTGCTTATTACATATAGGGTACTCGTTAATAGGTATATCATCATTTTTCAGTTTACTGTTGTAGTTACAAGTTACATACACTTTCGGTTCGGCTTTTCTTCAGAATTCACCTTGAGCGATTCTTTCATCATTATACGTACAAATATGTTGTGTTTTGCATCTTGTTGGTTGTTTTGTTTTGTTTTGTTTTGTTTTTCTTGTATCTCAAAAGTTCATTAAAATAAATGCCTTTTAGTTTGTTTGCTGGCACTCTAGTACCGAAGAGTATCCAAGTGTTTGTTCTTTGTTGAGTAGTGTAAATAGTTACATGTTCAGTTGGTGGTAGGTGGTGGTAGGTGGTGGGGTACGGGTGTACATAGTTTGTTAGTTAGTTGTTTGATTAGTTTGTCATGGTGTGCCTTTGAGTATGGGCTAAAATTACCGAAAAGGATTGGTTTTACTCACTCGCCCGCACATTCGCGGGACTAAGAGCCTCAAAGAAGTTGCTGAACATTTTCTAAAACATCCCGGAATGGCAGAAACTCGCATGCGAATACAGCATACACACGGATCAGTACTTGGACTCCATCCAACTCCTACTCCCAGGTCGTGCGCCTGTGTATGCTGCTGTTTGTGTTTGTATTTGTATTTGTATTAGTTTTAGGCCCTTCTCAAATGACACTCATGCGACGCCTGCCATTTCCGGTGGCCTCGGCTCAGTTGGCGTTGGCCAGCGTTTCGTGACACACCTCCATGTAGTCGGGGTCGTGCATGATGCCCTTTATCATGTCCTTGAGCATTGTGTAGCGTGGAAATATCGGATACATCTTTGAGCTGCCGTACTCTTCCTGTTTGGTCACACAGAAGCACACGGTTAGATAAGGGTAAAGTTGCCACGGGGTCGGACAGTTTCCGTTCCGTTTCGCCTACCTTTAGTACTCGGATGAGATGCCGCAGCCCCAGATACTTTTTCAGCAGGCGATACAAATCGTTTATCAGCTGTGTGTTCTCGTGCTCGATTTGAGCCGTTGTCATGTCTGTGGACGGGACGTTATGCGAATGCAGTTAATTACCATGGGTCGCAGTTTCCGGCTCATTTCACTTACGTTCCAATCGCTCCATCCGCTCCCGCCGCTCGGCCGCCTCGTCGGCCAGCTTGGCTGACGTTTTCACCCCCTCGCCTGACTTCTGGGTCTTCTCCATGATCGAGCAGGCGCGCATAACGTACGAGGGCACAGTCTCCTGCTTCTCCTGACGCGGTATGTCCACCAGGGTCCAGTACTGGGTCTCCAGCCGAATGACTTCCTAGTATAGGCATTAAAGATTTAGTTCGGCATTCCCTCGATTGCAGGGTTTCAGTCCACCAACCTTTATCATCAACTTGAGCATGGGATAGCGCTGGAACATGTTGCGCTGGCTCTTCGAGTCGCCGTATTTGTTCATGAGGTTTATGAGCGCTTGCTTGGCCGTCTCGTAGGACTCCTCCAATCGCAGTCGGAGTGAGCGCAGCCTTTCATTGGTTTCGATTACCTCGTCCCGGGTCATTCCACTCGGCGCACCCTCGTCCTTCACATCCTGAACGATCCGCCGCACGCTCTGTGTGAATTTCCCAACAAAATTTGTGGTTGCTGTGGAACGGTAATTGGAAACAAATTTTAATAGAAACAATTATCCTGTTTAATTTCATGTTTCTGGTGCCAAAATAAAAATTGTGCGGAAATTGCACGAAACACTGTCATTCATGATTGGAAATGTCAGTAGATACGCGCATTAACCATGTAATAATCTACGATTCATGCGGAAATTGTTCGGCTATGGGAAAGTCAAACTATTATGCCATGATGATATCGCATCGAGCTTGAAAATGAATTAAAAATATATTTTTATTTTGTTTTTGGCCCCGCCCCTCTTTCGCTAGTCAACGCCGGGAACAGAACCTTGGACTTCTCGTACGCGGGTCCACACCTCTTCCCGCACCACCACGGTAGCAAGTAAGATCGTTCTGCTTTATTCGTAGTTTGCTTTAGTGGCAATCATTTTAAGGTTTTTGTAATTTTTCTTAAGCAACCATAAAATATAAATAATTCTTTGGGCAAGTTTATTATTTACATTTAATTTTAAAGTTCAGTAGGATTGATTTTCTATTTTTTCCCTCTTATTTCTTCATTTCTTTCTCTCTACGGATTCAGTCTGATAGGGATCGTGGTAAAAACAATAATTATTAACTAAAACAAGTATAGCCATCTAAACTTAATCAGAATTAATTTATAATGAAAAAAAATTTGAAAACAAGACCGATTTCTTAAACAGACATTCTAATCTGCAAGTTTATTATCTGATCTCAGGTTTTGTGCTAATAGCGAAAAATATAATGCATTTGCGAGCATGATAAAGAAAATTAGAATACAAAAAAAAATACAAATAAGTGATTAAGGACGATTTTTCAAAAAAGGTGAGCGTTTTATTTTGTTTGAATTGTTTCCATTGTGTTTTTGACTTATCGTCGTGCTTAATCAGAGCTTTTGCATCACATCATTTGTAGGTCTCTCGGAAAAATTGCAGTTACTGGTGGGCACCGTGGTTTCTTTGTATTTAATGTGTTCAGTTGAGAAACTGCGAAATATCCTAGTTTTTGTTAACGTAATGTCTTTATGCATTTTACATGTTTTTAGCCAAGTCAACAGCGAAAAACGTGTGAAAACGCGTCAACTTAAACATATTTGCTTAAAAAGTCAATATACAAAATATGTATCTAAAATTCGTTTAGACAGACTCTTTAAATTCTTCTGGAAAAATTCAAAATTTTCTGTTTCGTTGATGTGGTTCCCCTTAAAGTGGTTTTGGCATCGAAAATAAAATAAACTCAGACAATTAAGCTCTTTTTGGAAACTCAAAGGAATTATCTGAAATATCTGGTGGATGGGATTACGTAAGTACTTCTGGCATCGTAAATTCTTACTGAAATGGTTTAAAAGCCACAGAACAGTGAAATTCGTTTATTTGCATTTACGTTTTCATTGGTCGTTGAACAGACGCTCCTTCATTTTCGCGCTGCTAATGATTTTTTTATATTAACGAATGGGAAAACTCCAGAATCGTTTGAGCAGCGCCCGTTTAATGGGCCTTTCGATGTCGGAAAGTGCAATTAGCATTCGTCATTGTCTGTCCGTGTCTATGTCCGTGAATATATGCAAAACGTGACATACTTCAAGGCCCTGATTTGTGTGCCTGTCTTGCCTACGGAGAGGGGGTCCATCTGTGTCTGAGTCAAGCCGTTGCAAATTAGTCGAGCACTGCAGATGTATCTGAATGCTTACTTCAATCGAACCGTGCTGCTCCTAATTAGAACCAGAGCCATCTGCTGTCTCTTCCAGAGGCAGACTCGTCCCTTATGTGGGCTTCGTTGGCGGAGCATAAAGTGCATTGCCATTTTCACAGAATGATTCATTCCCCTGCCTTGAACTTGGACAAAGACTGCGCTCTGTTTGTGGTTGTCGGCGGGTGGCAAACTGGGAAACCGTAATTGTTGTTCCCTGGAGACAGCCGAATCATTCTGACGATGATCATGACGTACCAAAAGAGACTTTGCACTGGGCCCATCGAAAAGTATCTGACAGTCTGGCACTGAATAAATTGTGTTTATATGTACAGCAGTGCGGATTGTTGAGCTCCGCTCTCACATTTTGGTAGAGAAAAAGAGCGACAGCCGCCACCACCGCTCTTTATCTTGGCTGGCTCTCTCGCTCTCTATGTCTGCTAGTTTATAAAGATTTACCCAAGAGAGATCTGCTCAGTGTAAATTCAAGAATCTGAAGGCGAGCACTGCCGCGACACAGACACCCGAGAAATACATAAAAACCAGCAACACAATGAAGTAAAAAAAAATAAAATAAAATAACATAAAAGCATATTAAAAAGCGAAAAACGAGTAAACGTGAGCACGATAAACACGACGACCACAAACAAAGAGCTCGGGGCATTTTATATACCAACACACATACATATGTACATTAGGTACTGGTGGATACATAAAAGCACGCATATATCGCGCCAAAAAAGAAACAGGCAGCCAAACGAAATAGGCCTTAAGCCAATTGAACGTGAATTTTATTGGATTTAATTGTTGAAAGTAAAAGGAAACAGAAAAACCATTACAAGTAAACAAGCACTGTTCCAACTATTGGAATAAAAAACGATCCAGAGATCCAGAGAGCTTCAGAGAGCGTAGCACGCGCAGACAGATATACATATCTTTAGTGTAGGTAAGTCTGATCCCCCAGTAGATACGAGTACTACGGCTGGTACTCGGGGAGCTTGGTCGTGACACCGAGACACCCATTTTCAATGCATTTTCATGCTCATCGGGTCTGTTCGCAATCTGCTTAATGGGCGCTCAGCTCTTGGGCCATAGCTCCTAATTGGTTTATTGACTTGGCTGTCGACCAGTTGGCCTTATACGCGGCTTGCAGCTTTTTGCCAGTGCAACAAATTTCCATATAAAAACTGCAATTAATCCAAGTTGATGTCTTCTCTCTCTCTCATTCTCTCTATCGTTGCCCGCTCTGTTGTGGCATGATACTCGTATTGTGTACATTATTTTTTTTTTATTTACTCCTCGTTTTTGCTGATTTGCATAAAATTTCGATTTTATAGAATTTTTTCAAGACTAATAATAGTTTGTTTTTCTTACTGCTGCATATCAGCGTATAGATACACCAAAATGATTCAACAACTGGACAGATTTTCGAATTGAAATGTATATATAAAACAGAAACGATTATAGATAAATACAACAAAGTCGGCCAATTTAATTTAACAAATTTTATTTTATTTTTTTTTTTTTTGGCAGATAACGTTTAAAAATATGCATAAATTGTTTATTTATAGAACGAAAAAGAAATGCTCAAAAAAAAGGTTGACCTGCGACACTTTCGTCTAGGAAATTCCCGAAATATATTTAAAGAAAACATTCTGAAAATATTGAACATTTGTAGATTATCAAGAAATTTAAATTGAGTCAAGATAACCTGAGACAAAAATGCATGCACATATTTTTATGGAATTCCCAAAAAATTTCGTTAAGGCCGAAATTCTTGAATATTGTTGCGTGACCAACAAAAATAAAGATAAGACAATTGACGTCAACGACAAGTCAAATAGATCCCCAGAGGGCCTGTGCCAGTCTCATAGGAAGTCGAAGCTCTTCCGAGCATCGGGGGGTTAAATAATAATAGGCAAATACGAGTACATTTTCAATGAAGGGCTTGTGCCGCCCAGGCGCAAACAAATTAGCAATTGTAGATAGCTGGCTGACATTGTCATTGATCAGCAGAACAACAGAATACATACTCGTAGTCGTATATGGCAGAAAAAACCCATTTAGCCAGTTAAACTCGTTTCACGGCTCTCGTGTAAGTGCAACCGACTGGACCAGATATCGGGCTCCTGCACGCCCATGCCCAATCTCAGTGCCAGTCCCAGATTTACCTACATTTTGATGGGGCCAGACAGAGGAAGAGGACATCTTATAAGTAAGCCGCTTGCTCTAGTTCACTTGTTGCCCCACTGCCGACAGGCACTTGGCAGCAGCTCTTCCCTGTTTTGGCTGTTCTGACGGTAATACTCGTACATTCGTCTTTCGGCGGATTCGAGAGGTGGGTTTTTGGTACATCGGAAGCTCTCGTGGCCTTCAGTCTCATCCCACCACGCCACCACTCTCATCCTCTCCCACTGATATCAACCAAAATGACGACAAAAAATTGTTTGGATGCGGCATTCTCACTCAGACCCATCGGCAGAGACGACTAATGAGCAAAACGGCTTTTGTTTGCCTTTGGCTTGTCGCCGCTCCTCTCTCTGTCTCTCTCTATCTCCCTCTACCTGCGTAAACCGGTTGTTGCTAATTTGGCAAAACACAAAAAAATACACCGTGACATGGGAGTGTGTGTGATGCGGTGTATCTGTGTGTGAACTGCTACATATTGTTTGTCTTTTTTGGCAGTTTCTCAGCCACAGCCACAGCCTCAGCCACTGAAAGCGAAGCACATAATTTGGCCAACAGCAGCAACAACAAACGAAACGTGTCTTCAAGTGGAACACTGTGCTCTCTGTGCAGAGCGAAAAGTGCGTTCAAAGTATCTCAAAGATAAAGACAGCAGCAACTTTTCGTTTCGCACATAATTAAAGCTCTGCACGTGGCTCCGTGTGTGTGATTCCGTATCTGTGTGTGTGTGCATGTGTTGCCCTTTTGGCCCACAAATATTTCAAGTTCAACCTTTCGGTGTTGCTCTTTTTTTTACGGCCTTACATTTTTTTAATTCTGGAATTTCCAGTGCGCCCGCTCATCTTTTGTTTGCACCACGCCCCAACCCGTCCCCCCTCGAGCCCCCATTTTTGCCCCGCTCTGTATTGTTTATTCCTTTCCACTTTTAATTTTCCCTTCTGTTGTTTACACACAAGTAGGATGAGATTTCCCCTTTACAGTTTTCTCAGTTCTGTTCTGTACTTTTTTCCATTTGTTCTTGCGCGGCAGAGTCCGCATTTCTGCAACAATGGGAATGTCTTATCGGTCAGAGACTTTGGGAATGTCTTGACTCTGGTTGGGTTTTCCATCAAGCTTCGTCATCGCTCAGAAGCTAGAAAAGAACTTCAAGGGGGATCGATTTGCCCATGATTTCCTTTGACTCAACTGGGAGTCAACTCGCTATTTTTGTGGCGAGTATTCACAGTGCCAGTGCAGACTCGGTTACAGACATGTAAGTGCTAAACACAGGTTTCCATTTAATTCCCATGAATTACACTGTGAAACTGAGCGGCGGCAAATTCCTCAAAGTCAAAACCGCAGGCACGTGCCGCTGATGATGATTATATGGTACTGTACGACACTGTACGTCAAATGCTTCCCACGTCTCTTGCGGTCATTCACTGACTTTCTCTATATATGAATGTGTTTGTGATTGGTCCAAGCATAATTCGAGTCAGTGAAGTCATCAGGGAAATTACGCTAGTTTTTCGTCATAGTTTTATGGTAAGTGAGATCATTGTTTGATTAGCATATTGGCACTCAACAAAAATCATTACAGAAGGAACGATATGATGCATAAAACCAGTTCGATTCAGTGACATAAGCACATAAAATAGGAACCAGTTCGATTCTTGTATAAACCATTTAATTCCCAAACTGGAATGAACTCGTATTTCAGTACTGCAGGAGGAATTGAAAAGGTTAAATGGCTCCTAGTCAAATGGTTGTCAATTAAACCTAGAGTTTCGCACTTTCGCTCTAACGAGGGCACTTTGATCAAAGCGTTGGCAATAAATTCCCACAATTAAAATGACAGATTAATCGATTGCATTTGCATGTGAATCGAGTAAAAAAGCTGCCATGACGTCAATACAACATTAAGGCTGGCTGCTAGCCGAAACACATGGAGATCACATTGTTGGTTTTCTATTATTGGTACAATTCTGTAGCTTTTATATTATATCCACTGTTTTGGCCTGGCTCCAAACACGACAGTTTCAGTCCCCTCTATTCTGCAAGTATCTACCCAAAATGATGCTATAATTATAGTCAGAGTACAGCCACTAATTGCTTAGAGAAAACCATTAGATTGAGAAGCAGCCACGGGTTTCAATTTAATTGAAGTTGTACTATGGCGAGTGCCATTTAATAGAGGATCTTGCTAACGAACTTATATTTCCGTTTGCTAATGAGCTGCCAAAGCTAGATGTGGGTTATTTTGAGAGTTCAAAGTCCCCAATCGCAGACCCCAGACCAAGATCGACTATAATTTGGTCACGCTTTATGGTCCAGAATGATTTCGTAATGACTTCAGGCTATAAATATGTCATGCGCATGAGATCATACAGACATCCGATTATGTGAGGCCTCAAGAGTGTCAAAATTCTGTCATCTCAAAGAAGATTTGGCAAGAACAATACTGATGGATTTGGGTGCTACTGGTGCTTGTCAGCTTGTCATTATCTGCACTCAAAATACTCATCGTTAATCACCTTTGGCTCAAGCGTATTTTGAATGATTCATCCGCCAAGCTTTGAATATATTTATTGTCTTTTTCGGCAGCATTTTACCTGCTTATCTGGGGAGTATCTGGGATTGACTTGTCTGGGTTTTTGGTATTTTTGTCACACCCTTCCCCTTCCCGAAATATGCATATTTCTGTATGCCAAGGGCGTGGCCATCAATAAGCAAAACTAAATGAACGCATAAATGTGTCTTGACCTCGCTAATCCTAGCCGCACGTGCTGATTACCATTTCGGGACCCAGCCGTCACCATCCCCATTCCAATCCCCATCCCCATTCCCTTTCCTATCCTCCTGCTAGTTACCGCTCCTCGGATTGCCAGCGGGTGTGTTTGCTCAGCGTGTTTTAATTAGTTGGGTTTTGCTAAGGACATCGAAGGCCCCCAAACAGGAACGAAACCAAAAACGATTCCTGTTTGACTAATTGACCGCGTTTGTGTGCACGTGTCTATGTGTTTCTGGGTGTGTGTGTGTGTGTGTGCCTCAGCCGCAACCCACGCCTATGACAACGCCCACATCAATCATCGGAGAGTCGGAAATTTCGACACGCTTCAGATTTATTGAAATCGTGCAACGTGCCCCAGCATCAGGCATCAGCATTCGCAACCAATTTAAATGACAAACTGCACGCTGCAGCTCTCGAGCCTCGGCGCTGAATGTTTGCGCCCCTTACAAATGTGGAGTAATTTACGTCCCGAGGTGACAATATTGTGCATTAGTCACTTATTGTTATTTTCAGTTTAAATGGAGCGTGCCCATACTGTCTATTGATTTATGGTAATGAGGGAAAATTCGAATTTCAAAAGCTGAGTACATATTTGCTTTGGAAGGTGGGCGGTGGGAAAACTAAACTCGTGTCGACACAGTGAAACATGAGCAACAGGGAAGCTGTCAAGCAACAGGTCTGCCCCACTATAGCAGACTCGGTCCTAGATGGTCAAGTGGATTACCATCAGTCAACCCAGCCAAGAGATCCCTACCCATTCGGACATGACCACAACTTGACCTGAGCACCTCAACACGAAAAATGTGTGTGGTCATCTGTCATTCATCTCCGGCTACCAGCTGCACAGGCCACAGTAACTAACCCAGTTGTGGGCCCACAAACGTAGGGAGGAAACGGCTTTTCATCCGACTAAATAGCCCAATCTATAAGCAACAAGCAGAAACAATTTCAGGTTATTACAAGACTGGCCCCAGACAAGTTATTGACTT